GTGTCGCGGGAATTGCCGCAATGGTGAAGAAACCAAGTTCTTTCGAAAGAGGAATGTTCGTGCTATTAGACGATGTGAAATTTATTGCTCTGCGACGATTCTGAGGCGAGATATTGGACTCGATGTCGGAGGGTGTATCAGATAAGTGGCTAGCCTCCTGCGCAGACGTTGTTAGTGGCCCGAGGCCTCACCTAACGTCTGCTCACATTCGCTATACATTTGACTTCCCGGCAATTAACCAATCACAATCATCTACACGATAATTGGAAGATCGGCCTTCAATGACCTTCACACGCATGGGCTATATCAACAAGTCTGTAGTATTTTTAAATTTGAAAGTTTTAACACTGCGCATTAGAAAAAGGCTTTTCAGTCTATTATAAACGAAAAGGATGTTGTCGTAAATCTTACAACTGACGCAGGAAATCCCTTATTTATCACGCCGTTACCGAAACTATTCGATGTAATATTCGGATTTAAATATTTAAACAAATTGTAAACATTGTAAACATTTAGTAATCGTGGTTTCGGTTGATAAATTCAATACGAGATCAAGTCAAAAAAACTACACGATCTAGGAGTCAGTGCTGTGTCATTATTAAGTTGAATCGAGAGCGATAAAGAAGCGAAGGCATTGGAAGAATGGAAATATTCTGACTGTATTATATGCAGAGTCATTGTTGAAGACCGAACGATGGAAACGAATGCTTCAACAAATTGTACGTATAGCAAAATGGTTTGTGCTTTGGCTGTTGATGCATGAAGCTCATGCGATTAAAGAATGGTATGTATTATAATAAATCCTAAAAATGTGTTCGCTTTTGTAATTCCCAAAGACACATGCAGGAATCGATCGGGCTTGGCCATTTTAATAGTCATTATTCATTAATATTTTATATTGTTTATTTAAATTGAATTTGTCTTTTTATACATTGCCTCGTATTATCTATTTGCATGTAGTACTAGCATGCAAGTTTATATGAGGGCAATTATGAAGGGTTTACATCAGAGGGTTGGGGCATGTATGATGTATATTAACTAGAATGGCTCATAAACTTGCTGGTGCTACGTGCAATAGATAATACGAGGCAACGTATAAATCAAGACAATATAAAATAACGACTATTAAAATGGTCAAAGCCGATCGATTGCTGTGGCTTTGAGAATTGCAAATGCAAACACATGTTTAGGATTTATTATAATACATACTGAAATGAGCTTCATGCATCAATAGCCAAAGCACAAACCGTTCTGCCATACACTTTGTCTTTGTCTTCAGCAATGACTCTGCTGTGCCATATAATACAGTCAGAATATTTCCCATCTTCAATGTCTTCGCTTCTTTATCGCTCTCGATTAAACTTAATAATGACACAGCACCGACTCCTAGATCGTGTAATTTTTTTACTTGATCACGATCGTATTGAATTTATCAATGACGAAATCACGATTACTAAATGTTTACAATGTTTACAATTTGCTTAAATATTTAAATCCGATTATTACATCGAATAGCTTCGGTAACGGCGTGATAAATAAGTGATTTCCTGCGTCAGTTGTGAGATTTACGAAAACATCCTTCTTTTCGTTTATAATAGACTGAAAAGTCTTTTTCTGATGCGCAGTGTTAAAACTTCCAAATTTAAAAATACTACAGACTTGTTGATAATAGCACAGAGTGATAATAACCCATGCGTGTGAAGGTCATTGAAGGCCGATCTTCCAATTATCGTGTAGATGATTGTGATTGGTTAATTGCCGGGAAGTCAAATGCATAGCGAATGTGAGCAGACGTTAGGTGAGGCCTCGGCCACTAACAACGTCTGCGCAGGAGGCTAGTTTTAATCTAAACGCCCTAGATATTACTAGATTACGTCATCTAGTGGCGTCATGGTTTCACTATCTTTACTTCCGTCATCATCAGTTGATGACGTCATGGATGGTAAAAAATAACTCAAATGTTGGGTAGCTTACAAAAATATGCTTTTGGCCCAAAAAAGTTAATAAAACATTAATTTAAAAAAGAAAATATAAAATCTGCCTTGACACGTCATTATAATCTTGGTTACCATGGCAACATGACTTAAGTATTCGACCCAATTAGAGACACGCACATTATGCCAGAATTTTTTTTTAGAATAATAGGGGATTTTTTGAAACCGGGCATAATATGCAAAAGAGGGAATAATAAGGAAACGTTTCGGTATGACGTCATCGTGCCAACGTAAATTCCGTAATTAGCATATGCGCCATCCCCGCACGTGTCGCGACGCGGCGCGCACATTTGTACTCCAACTCACCTCCCCCTCTCCCTCTCCCCGCTCCCAATCTAAGAACATAAGGGAGCTTAATTTTAGCAAGCGACGTTTTTAATTTGTCAACACGGACGTCCAATTGCCGAGGGGAGGCTGGATTAAAAACTGTATTTGTTTCATAATGTGAATGGTAATCTTCAACACACATGACAAAAAAATAAGATTTTAATTTAAAATGTTTTGCTCCCTTACACTGTTACACAAGCGATATAATACAAAATGCCGCCAAAATTAGTTATACAAATTTTTTGTGTGACGTCCATGTTTACAAAATCCGCTTGATAAGCTCCCTATTGTTAAGAGTCACCACGATACTGAGTTCTTAATCTTTCCATGCTTGTTGAATTTTTCTCACACAGCAGCATTTCTTCCCGAGAGTTTTCTCATCCTGCCTAAATCCAGTAAATTCTTCCACTTATTAGAAGTCTTTCAAGCATCTCCTTTTAGTTAGCTATCAAACAAGATCGTGAAACATACTCTTATTTTGTTTAAAGGCTGATGTGTTGGTAAACTCTGCACATTCAAATCTTAATCATCTCACTGCATGTGGTCGAGCTTTATTGACTCGCGGCGGATCGTACTTTCAAGAAGCATGTAAACCTCACACAGATATACGACCAGGAGACGTGGTAGTAACTGAAAGTGGTGACCTTTCATCCAAGCATGTCATCCATGCTGTTTGTTGCAACTTGAGTCAATTTAGGGAGCTGTCATTAGCACATGAGGTATAGTGGATTCTAAAATATTGCTACCAGCCGTATAGCTAAAATTTCACTCAAGGAAACGGTCCTAAAGCTACTATAGTAGAGGACCTGCATATGGGTTTGTGTGCATTTCATTTAATACATATAACCTCAACTGTTTTAAGGCATATTGACCATGGCGGACAACATGTCATATGTGCCAAAACCTGACTCCGGGATGAAACGTCCCAAAATGACCACACCCAGAAACGGCGCTTGTGACATGGCCCTATCTACTAAATCATTGAAGCTGCATATGGCGGACGGCAAACACTACTATCAGAACTAAATTGTGTTACCCGGAACGGCACAGGAGTGCATGAAAATAAGGCAGAAATTTGTTGGCAAATTTTTGCATTTTTTCTCAAAATCTGTTTTTTTCAGCGGATTTTATTCTCGTATGTCAAAATATACATAATGTTGACAGTAAAACAAGGTGCTCAATAAGTTTATGAAAATTTCCCATAAAGGCCCTCTTGGCAGAGCAACTTGACACATCAGCAAAATTGACAGTTTCGGGACCCTATCTTCGCTGTCTCGACCAATTCCTTGTTTACGTTGTGGAATGGGTAGCAATTGCCGAAGTCCCTTTCAGTAAATAGATTTTGAATTCATCTTGCACTGCTTTGTTTGCAACAATATGATACCAACTTGTATCGAATCTAAGTTAGGAAAAATTTTCCACGTTTAAAGCTAGGCAAGGCTAAATTATGTAGGCTATTTGTTCATAAATCTAGTTTTTATTGATTTGAAAATTGCCAAAGTACATATTAAAGAAAGGACAAGTTGTATGTGTAATTTCTCTCTTGCGAAAAGCTTTCGAAAATGCTGCGGCAAAGTCGTCATTTTTACTTGAACGTTCTTACTACAAACGAAACATATGAAGAACCAAAAAACGCCTTTATGATATGATTGAATATTAGTCGAAACGTTGATATTATTTAAACGCAAAGTAAATAGTAACACGTCTTCATAATGTTTACGTATTATTTTCATTTTGTATCATCGTATATCTTAATCAGTCATTTTATAAAAACCGTTTCGCTTCCTATCATTTTGGAAATAACACGACTTTCATAATAGCTATATTATGTAATTATTTTTACTTTGTATCATCGTTTCAATAGAATATAACATGCTCAGTCTTATTAAAATGAAACAATATCATAATGAATCATATTGATTTCAAGTCCGCGCAATTTTATCACGTCCGAGGCGAAGCCGAGCACTGGATCGAAATGTGAGGACTTGAAACCTAGGCCAGTCTGAATTGGAGGATTTGAAATGACATCTCATATGAATAAATCACTACTTAATTAATTTTGATCCAGTCCAAGGACTGAATGAATTTTCATCCAGTCTTAGGGGCTAGGACAGGAACAGTAGGCTTCATCACGTAACCAGTATTGTCACGTGGGCAAAATAAAGTGAAATGTTTGGCTAATTTACTCATAAATTATTAATGAGTTTGAGATAACAGATTGTAAGCCAGCCGATGAAAATCGATTTACTTGACAAGTGGACTGACATGAAAAAATGTTTTGGGGGCAGCCCGATCCTGCGAACGAGCACTTTATGTGTAAAAGTTCTCCAAGTTTACACACTACTGCCAATAATGGCGAAATCCCTAGATATCTAAAACGTCGTTGCTTTAATCCTTATTATCACTGACAGAATGACTGCAAATTGATACATGCAAAGAACTTCGTACAAATTTGATTTTCTACGGGAAATAACACCTCACTCTGTAGTAATTAAATACATTTCCATTATTTTTGTTATTTCTAGTTTTTACGGCGATTAGTGCGAAAAATTCTTGAAAAATGCCACGAGTTGGGGGCATACTCTCTGGCAATCCCAATGATCGGCGCAGGTCAGCATGGATATTCTGAGAAAGTAGTTTTACAAATAATCAGAGAGGTAGTAAACCAATTTAGCAACAGCAAAGGAAGTCAGATTACCCTCAAAGATATTCGCGTAATTGTGTTTCAATCTAAACCCGACAGGAGGCAATCGGTACCTTTGCCAATTAGGCCAGGAATTTCAACACCATCCTTGTCACACCCCTCAGAGAGAAATACTGAAGCTAGTTCTACTGAAATAGCTTTTGCACTTGTCCGCATTTACCTGTGTGGTGGCAACTTAACACAATATGAAGCTGATGCCTTCATGAATTTATCCTCAACAAATGTAAAAGTGTCGACCACAACCTCATTGAAACCGCCACCTGGTACTGTGCTGGTTATAAAAGCCCATGGCGGTGTGAATGTAAAATACTACGTGCATTGTGTTCCTGTCTCGTTTGACATTTCCGGATTGGAGCGGGCAATTAAAGCTTCCTTGGAGGCTGCGAAATTTTTCGCACTCAATAACATAGTAATATCGGCCACGGGAATAACTTCGCTGAACCCAGCGGCCAACGAATGCGCCAATGCGATTTTGAACGCATCCAAAATCTTTTCCAAAGCAAATTTCATGATGGATATTAAAGTGGTTGTGTTTGACGTGAATATGATGCGAATCTTCAAAAACGCTTTCGAAGAAAACGCGAAGGAGCAAAAAACGAGTGCGACCATCCATGACATTGATCAGGCAGCAAGTTTGGAAGATGCGGAAATTATGCAACAGCTTCCCCTGAAGAAAGTCTTTAACATCGGAGTGAAGGAACAAGTTATATTTCGAGTGGTTGGCGTCCGCGATAACGTGAACAAGTCCATTGAAAAAATCGAAGGGTACTCCAACCGATTTAAAGTAACTAAATATGTAACAGATGAGAAAATGGTGTACAGACTTTGGAAGCATATCTCCGAAATGGAAACATTGTCAAAAGGATATGACGTATTCATCACTTTATCAGCCGAGAAAGTTTCCATCGAAGGAATGGCAGACCAAGTCTTTGAATGTAAAGATGCGTTGATTGATTTTTTGAACAAGCACGATGAGAAGGAAAGAGAGATGAGAAGATTACGAGAAATGTCGGAAAGCGTTCAATGGTTGTATACTGATGTGAATGGCACCGTCCTGTTTGATGAAATCCTTAATGGGATGGTTGAAAGTAAATTCAGGGACGGAAACAACAAAATTACATTCCCAGGCACGGGAAACACCTACGAAGTTGATTCGGATAAGATGGTCATACAGGAAACTCACACTGGTCGCACTGCATCACTTGCAAGGAAACAAATTGGAAAAATGTCGGGTAAATTTGACTCATATAGTTGTAGATAGAATTTTTCCGATGCGTTGGCCATGCATGTTGAAATGAAAACAGGGCTAATAACCTTACCGTTAATGATAACACCCAACACTGAGTTGCAGTGAGAAAGATTAAGTTACAAAAAATGTACATATAGTTTCAAGCTTTTTCTTTCATATTATTTTGGAAAGAGATATTCTAGTTGCAACAAAAATATCTATTTTAGTCTAATTATTTAATCAAGGACAAAAACTGTTACTTAAAAATATTAGTTCAGAAATTAAAAACCAGTTCGTTTTGATTGGTTGATTGATTGATTGATTGATTGATTGATTGATTGATTGATTGATTGATTGATTGATTGATTGAAATGGATTTTTCTTGAGTTCATTTTTTAACAGTTTCAATCAACTTCTGGACTAACTTTGTTAAGTTTTTAAAATGCAGTAACACAATTTAGTATTTTACTTTTTCGATCAGACCGTTGTTAATGAAAGAGGGAAAGGAAAGGTCATTTAATTTATTTATGTTTTCCCGATTTCAGTTTTACCGACATTTTGGGAACCACAACCAAAGGATGAAGACGTCCATTTAGTCGCTTTGTCCTGTTCGTCAAATGAATACCAGACAGTTATTAATCTCTTTGGTCGTGCAAATGACTTGGCAACAGTGCAAAAGATCGAAAGAATTCAAAATCCTCGTTTATATAAAATGTATCTTAGCAAAAAAGATTCGATGGGAATGGAAGCAAACGAGAAGCAGCTGCTTCATGGCACGAAGTCGGAGAACATTTCTTCTATCAACACAAACAATTTTAACCGAGGATTTTCTGGCATGAATGGTATGTATTCACTCGTCCAAAACCTGTTTTTAAAATCATCAAAATAGAGCGGGAATACGTTGTAGAAAACTAAATTCAATGAAACGCTATATTGCCTGACAATGCAAGCGTATTAGTCAATCAAATTGTCTGTTATATCCCAATGATATAATAATTAAGCAGGGAATGAAGCGGAGACTAAGCGGGGGGATACAGAAACAGCATGGCAGTGCCACGGACCGCAGTGTGTTATTGCGTGACAGTGCGCGCGCATTAACCAATCAAATTGTCTGTTATATCCCACTTATATTCTAATTAATTGAACTTCCGAAACATTCACTTCAAACAAATATAGCAATTTTCTTCTGATATGTCATGTTTTTATTCTGCTGCATGGTGTCCTTATCACACTGTATTCTGTTTTCCAAACTTGTATTGTGAAAAGTGTACTAGCTAAAACTTTATTTCAAGCAAGAGTTTTACTAACATTTCATTTTACCAATTTTCTCAGTCATTTCTTGAACAAATTAAAGCTAAACAGAGACTATTTTTTAATTCTAAGTTTAATTTGGTGAAAAAATCATTCCATCATCTGCCTCCTCCGCAGGCTCCTCTATATAGATCAAATTTAAATATCAGTAATATATAGATTAGCGCGTGCACTGCAAGCCGATAACAAGGGAATAACATGAGTTTTGGAGGGCGTATTGTTTATTTTTGGTCCGCGTAGTAAAGTTTTCGCCCGAGCGCAGCAAGAGTGAAAATTTTACTACAAGTGCCAAAATTAAACAATATGACCCGACAAAACTCATGTTATTAACATTATTATCAATATAGAAGAACAAATAATTATCAATTATTGGACGAGGTTGAGCAAAATATCGTGATTTGTCGGTGGCGAGCAGATCAATTATTTGCCGATGCCGAAGGCAGAGGCAAATAATTGATTTGCGAGCCACCGACAAATCACGATATTTTGCGAGAACCGAATTCAATAATTGTTTTATCATTCACTTATAAAGCTTCATTTTATCTCTTTCTTGCTTCTGCATAAACCTTGCGAAGGACGTTATAATTATTATTATAATTATCATTCACTTTATAGTATTCTCAATTTGATTGGTAAATTTACCTGCAAATAACTGCGTGCAAATAATAGTCTGAGCATGCGCATTTGTTAAAAACGTTGCACAGCTACAAATAATAGTCTGAACATGCGCATTGCCTTCAATTTTGGAAACAATGGCGGCTCGCTTTGCTGAACTTTCGGAAAATGAGTTGTCTTGCTTACATGAAGAAAAATACGCGTAAAACACAATGTCTTTCGCCAGTATTTAGAAGTCAATGTCTTTCGCCAGTATTTAGAAGCAAGACAAATAAACGAAGACGATCTATAGTTGGCTCAAAAGAAACTCTTGCCAACCGGCCTTCGCAAGTTTTATGCAGAAGCAAGAAAGAATTATTTTAAAAGTGAATATAAGTGAATGATAAAACAATTATTGAACAATTATTAAATTTATAAGTGAATGATAAAACAATTATTGAACTCTGTTCGCGCAAAATATCGTGATTTGTCGGTGACTCGCAGAACAATTATTTGTCTCTGCCTTCGGCATCGGCAAATAATTAATCTGCTCGCCACCGACAAATCACGATATTTTGCTCAACCTCGTCCAATAATTGCTAAATATATAACATAACACAATATACAATGTAGACCATGAATGCTTTAAACATTAAGGAAAAACAGTTAACATTAATAATTATGCATTAAAATATATAAAATATAAACTGCTTTTGTTGTGTTTTTTGCTTGAGTCTTTTTCTCAATCTCGTCAAGAGCTTCCTTATCAAGGTCAGAGCTCTGGCTTAAAACATTTATATTTTCGTCTGTTGAATTCACGCTAGAGTTAGCCATATTTAATTTCACAACTTTCGTCTCTTGAAAGTTGAAAACACCATGAAAGCCCGAGAGCAGTCAGAGCACTCAAATGGTTTCCTTGCCAAGTTGAAAATTCTGAATATTAATTGGTCGAAAACAATCATGAGACGCACGATTGACCAGTCATATGCGTAACATATGTCAGACACGTAATTACCGCCCGTCCGATTCGTTATCGGTCAGCGCTTGCGAACGTTTTGAAGAGGGCGGCTTCCCATTTGGCTAGTCGGCCTGTGTACAGACGTTATTCTCGACGAAGCGCCCGAGAGAACGTCTGTGAGTTGGATAAAGATTCTTTGTTCTGGTCACGTGGATTTTCCCCAGATTTGGGGAAAGGCCTATGATTGGACAGTGCTTTATTTGAATAATATATGAGAAATGAAATATTTCATTGTTTTTAATAAATGTTTAATAAGAGGTATCTTTCCCGATGACCTAAAAAGTGCAAGGGTAGCCCCAATTTTCAAGAGCGGAGAACGATTGGATGCAAATAACTATAGACCAATATCTGTATTGTCAGTAATAGCTAAAGTTTTTGAGAACATCGTTTTTAAACAATTTTATGAATATTTAAGGTGGCTCGATATAGTTATCACAAGAACCCTGCTCAAGAATCGCGAACTCAAACCTGACCATTTTTACGCACCTGACCATTTTTACGCGCAGCCGTCGCGGAAACTGATTAACAAAATGAAAGAATTGCTTTTCTGAAACTTTCACCTCTGTTCATATTAAATAATTTTGTGTTTTTAATTTAAATCAAGGATCACACAAGAGGTTTTTGATAATACTTTTATTTTAGCTACATTTCGGATAGTTTACTATCCGTCCTCAGGCTAACAAATTGTTCTTACATTTCAAATGTAAGAACAATTTGTTAGCCTGAGGACGGATAGTAAACTATCCGAAACGTAGCTAAAATAAAAGTATTATCAAAAACCTCTTGTGTGATCCTTGATTTAAATTAAAAACACAAAAGTATTTAAAATGAAAGAATTTCCAAAATGACCTGACGTGAGCAGTTGCTCGCGCCATATCACGCCATTGCGCATGTTCTATAGCGTTTTATGTCAATTGCTGACGTCATTAGAATTTTCCATTTTAGAAAAACAATGCGCTATATCTCTTTATTTTGTCTGGTGACCTATGTTCAAATTTTGCATGCTGTATTGCACCGCTAAAAACTTTCATTATACAAAAAATAAAAAAATTCTGTAATGCCAAAAAAAATTTACCGAAGAATATGACATTTCGCATTTTCAAAAAAAATGGCATTACAGAATTGTTTTATATTTTGCTAATTGCTAGCTTTTCGTCCAAGTAAAATAATGCACGAAAAAAAATTGGGGGTCACCATGCTTTTTTTCCAACTATACGAGACGATAGGCCATTTTGGAGTGAATTTCGTACACATATGTAGTCATAGCAACGAACTATTTGTTACTAAAACTAATATAATTTGAAAGTAGAGTTATCAAAATATATAAAAAAGCCAATATCTGCTGGATAAATCCTAATAATGCGTAGTTTGAATATGTCAAAGTGTTAAACACCTGACTTTTGAAAACTGTATCGAGCTACCTTAAGTGATAATAATTTATTGTCACAAAATCAATCGGGTTTCAGACCTCGACACTCTACTTTGACGGCCTTACATAAAGATACTATGTTTTGGCTCAATAAGATGGACAAAGGGGACTTGAACATAGCTGTTTTTGTTGACCTTTAAGAAAGCCTTCGATACTGTGGACCACACTATCTTGTTGAGTTGCAGTATTACGGCTTTCTTGGTGACGAATTAAAATGGATCCAATCATACCTTTCTAATAGAAGCCAAAAATGCTTTATAAATTGGGTCCTTTCAAATCCAGGTATAATAAAATGTGGTGCACCACAGGGATCGATACTAGGCCCGCTCCTGTTTCTGATATTCATTAATGATCTTCCGGGCTGTCTCGCTCATACAGCACCAAATATATATGCAGATGACACTAGCATCACTATGGGAAACGAAAATGTTAACCTTATGGAAAACAGAATTAATGAAGGTCTACAAAATTTGTGCATTTGGCTGAGAGCCAATCGTCTTAGTCTCAATATTGTCAAAAGCGAATACATGATCATTGTCTCAACGCATTAAAGAAAGTATATTATGCAATTAAACAACCGCATTTCGACTATTGTTCATCTGTATTGGATAACTGAAATAAGGTTCTAAAGAGAAACTTCAGAAATTATAAAAACGTACTGGGCGGATTATCACACGTTCTGGTTATAATATTAGATCTGCGGAAGTTTTAGAAAAATAGGCTGGCTTGCGTTGGAACATAGATGTCACTTGAGCAAGGTATTATTAATGCATAAAATAGCAAATAATGATGCACCTATGTATATAACATCACAATTTTCCAGAAGGAATCTAATGCATGACTACAATGTAAGAGGTAGCCAGGTGCATTTTTCCCTTCCAAAACCTAACACAAACTTTATGAAAAATAGTCTAGCATACAGTGGAGCGGTCACCTGGAATTCTCTAAGTGATGCCATCAAATCAACCAAGGATGTCATTAATAATAATAATAATAACATTTCTATAGCGCATATACATTGCTGTTCTATGCCCTTTACATTGTAAAATTAAGTATACAGTAATTTACATCTATTATATATGTATAAGCTATAATATTAAAATTCGTCTTATAAGTCCCATATGTCTATATATGTATCTCTAAAAAACTAGTAAAAATATTAAAATAAAATCTCTTATAACTGTAAGTCATATGTCATAAGCTAATTTAAAAGATGAGTCTTTAATTTGGATTTAAAAGTATTAATGTCAGTTATAGATCTAATATCCACTGGCAGTGTGTTCCAAAGTTTTGGGGCAGTTACCGAAAATGCCCGATATCCATAGGTTTTAAGTTTGTATGGTTGTTCTGTAAGACGCCATTTATCTGCTGATGAGCGAAGTATTCTTGTTGGTTTATAACGGCATACAAGTTCTTGTAAATATTTAGGAGCAATGTTATTTACTATTTTGAAACACATTAAATTAATCTTAAAAACTATTCTTTCTTGA